CTTCTTCCACTGCCTGTGGTCCGGTGTCTGCAGGATTCGTGGTTGAGGCGACGGGTACGGCGAGAGCGCGAAAGGTCCCATCGGGTTCGGTCGTTGGTAATCTGTCTCTTTTGGATGGGTCCAAGTAGGTGGTGAAGGATGTCCCGGAGGGTCGAGAATTGCCGATGAGAGTACCTTCGTGGATTAGATGAAATTCGTCTTCGAATGTTTGCAGGTGAACGCCGCACTTCATCAGCTGGGCGGCTGACAGAAGATTGAATTGGAGCTCTGGCGCGAGAAGAACGTCACTGATGTGGATGCAGAAGTTTGTGTCCTTCGACTCCAACTGGATTTGCCCGCGGCTTCTCGCCCAAATCGACTGGTTGTTGGCGACGGTGATCTCAATTTCGTCGAAGAGTTCTTCGCTGCTGAGAACGAAGATGCTGGACTAGACCATGTGTTGACCGCAGCAGCTATCCAGGTACCATTTGTTGACATCCGTCGAGTTACTTATGTAGGTGTGGATTCGGTTGTATCTGCGGCAAGGTGGATTCGGTTGTATCTGGATTAGGGAAGGTGTAGGCCCTATGGTGGTTGTATCTGCGGCAAGGTACGAATCGTTGGGAGGACCCGACTGTCTAACAATGGGAGGGATTGACGACGCAGCGCCAGGTAAGCGCGTACGCACCATATTGACAAATACATCCGATGGGCGCAAGAGACCAAGGCCGGTAAGCCCGCACAGGTTGTTGTTAACGAGAAGGTTCTCCTAATGGTGCGCATCGACAGGCTGGGCAGAGTTTGCCATGGTGTCAGGTGCACACCCGCAAGACGGGGAGTTTGAAAAAAACATTGGAAAGGAGAAATCCATCTGCCGCGCAAGTGATGAAGAGAGAGACGGAAGAGAAGATGCGGTCAGACAGGGAAACTAGGTGAAAGGTATGCTGTCAGCAAAGGAGAGATTGGTGGCCCCGACCTCGGCCGCATGTTACGGTTGACGTGGTGAACTTTGGTGCCGCACCATGCAGTGACAGCACAACAATGTCCCTCACAAAATGATGCTGCAGATCTCATGCACGCACATGGCCCCTCGTGATAATGGTGCAGTGTGCAGCGAGGGAGGGAAGGGCCCGGCTGGCACTCTTGCTCATCTGGAGGTTGGACAGTATGGCACGGATTTGTCGCATATCAAAGCGGCGTTGGGACCGGTCACGTGATTTGGGGGCAAACACACGATAATCAAGGAATGCCCCTATAGGGCCCGCTGTACGCATAGTGTGACTGTGTCAGGGCACCGATAATAAAACACAATAATCATTCAGGGCAAAAATTGAGAACACTCTGAGCATTGAGGGATGCATTAATATAACATCCTCAAATTACAGTGCTTGCTGCACAAACACATTGAAAGTCTCAGAGAAGTGCATGCATTAGCACCATACAATCATGTATATCAGGTTGTTTTACACATATATTCCAACGGAAGGACACCATCCGAAGTCTGGGCAATTTGAGCATGTTCTCGTACTGCACGCATACTTCCTCTTGTTCGACGTGACCTAGACACAACGTACAAAATTTGCAAATTTGAAATATACACACGAAAATATTGAGCGATGCCAGTACACTGCACGCCACACGTGACAGTGAGTTCACCCAACAAACCGAGACTTGCTAACTTATGACGCAAAACTGGGTTCGAGAGTCCATCCAGCCTTTCAAACTACGAGGTAGCACCTTCATTCGAAAGAAAATGAGAAAACCATCCAGGTGCGCCAACTTCGGATAGTGTCTCTGCGTTGGAATACGATATATGACCCTCATTCACTTGTATGATGTATCCTCCTAACATAACCATGATAGATAAAGTGGACTAATTGGAGATCAGATTTCACTAAAAGTGAAGTACAGGAGGGGTTCAGATATTATCACCAATGCCCTGATTTCTTCAAGACTGCAAACCACTATACGAATACTACAACATAATGATGAGGAAACGCTGTTATTAAATTTATGAAGGTAGTGTTTCGAAGTTCTTTATATGTCGCTGTTATCAGAATCGCAGCTCTCTCTGGAGGGCAACTTCTACTGTATACGAAGCATGTGGTGTCAGTGGAGATTGGGGGCAAATCCACGCTTCGGCCTGGGCGGCTCGTAAACCCAAACAAGCCCGAGGCTGTGGCGCTTTCCAGGCAGGACCACTTTCTTTATTCTAGTCGGCCAGATCGGGATACCACAGTGGCCTGGCGCTGCCTTACCTGACCGAAACATCAAAGGTTCCCTCCCCTGGTTCCCCTCCCCTGCCTTCCGTTTCCAAGCGAAATGTGCCCGAACATATCAAGCGCGTGGGCTGGAGGTCATGCCCAGCTTCGTACGGAGGTTGTGCAGAAGGGGCTGCCCAGAAACTTAGGCTCCGAGTAGGCTCGGAAGGTTGCTACGATCCAGCCAAGTCATTGGTTATGGTCCAAACCAGGCCCGAACCACCATCCACACGCTCGGCCCTGTCCGAATCTCCACATCACCAGCCAGCCACCACCACCAGCCACAGTCTCGAGGCAGCACGTGTCAGTCAAAATGTCACGTTTCCTCGTCGGCCTGCCTGCCCAGATGACCAGAAATCGTTAGATGGGAACGGGAAGCCGGTAGGTAGCCTTCCAGGCTCACGGGGAAGCAAAGACAAGGCACGGGAATTGGCGGTTCAACTCATCTCCACTCCATTGCACTCCCCTCGATCTTGTCCCCTCAAAATTGATGATCAAAGCTTCACCGGACATGAACTGAACTAATCTTACTTCACCGTATCTAACCGCTCTGTCTCCCCGAGAAATCCTCCCATATTCCACACCACCGACTTATGTACATGGCATTTTCACCCAACCAGGCAATAACAGAACAGTGCTTGCTGTTGGTTTGGCTTTGATTCGGAGCTCTTGTGAGGCCCTGCTAGGTCAAAGGGTGGAGTTGCTTGGGTAGGCAGTGTAACGTAGTGGCCTAGTGACGCCATAGCCAACAACTTGGAACGTTGCATTCATGACTAGTCGCTCGCGCACGTCGTCGCTCTCCAGTCTGTCGCGGTCATCTATTCTCAGATTTCGGCCTGACGGCAAGCAAAGCGTTATTCCAGGAGTAGTAAGTTCAATTAGAAGATTTGGATCGTGAGGAAGAACTGTATCGAAGCATACAACGTAGCAGCAGCAGTAGCAGCAGCACATGGCAGCAGCGTCGAACTCAGCAGGATGCTGATCCCTGCTGGTTACAGGTTTAGTCCCGGCCTGCCTTGCGTAAGCTCGTCCCACCAGCGGCCAAGACCAATCGCAGTCAGATGGAATCACATACAAGCTTGTTCTCTTCTCCTTTCCTTAGCAATCCTAGCCGTTCATCCCGCCAGAATTCCAGGAACGTCGTCGGGCTTACTCTCTTCGCAGCCGCATTCGGAGCGGATTTTAGCGAATACTGGGACGAGTCTGCCTTCTCAAGCAGGCAAGTGGCAGCGTGTGCGTAGGAAGTCCGTAAGTTCGTCAAATTCATTCGGTCGGTGAAGGACAAATTCACTCCATATCTCTTCCTCGTTCGCATACTGAAGCTGAAGCGGACTACTGAGGATAGGAAATGGCCAAACATGCCGTAGTTTTTTAGGTACTTTCGTTTAGGGTTGCTTAGGTAGAAGCTCGTGCGGAGCTGTATCAAAGCGGAATTTCGCAAGTTTAGGGTTACCAAGTTAATCTACTGCAACCTCTCGCCAGCTGCTGTCTCCAGGATGGTGTTTCACAGACATTAGGGTTCGCCTCTCTGCAGGTCTCGTGGTAGCACTGATCACAACAGGACCGCAAAGGAATCAACCCGCTTAGGTCGCCCAGGTCTGGCAGTGCTAGTTAGATACTACGGCTGTCTAATGGGGACTGCTTAGCTGTCGTGTAGATTCCCGCTGCTTGGTCAGGTCACTGGTAGTCACTTGTTCCGAAGCGAAGTATGGCTACGGCTCTGTAGGAGTAATGAGGAGTGTTTTACGTGTTCTACCGCACTAAGAGGAGCTTCTGCTGGCGACAATGTCGCGGTGGAGAAGGTGTTACGGCGATTGCACCTTAGTCGTAGTTGGCGAAGTCTGCGAAGTTGGCGAAGTTGGCGTGCGAAGGGTCTGCAGAGTCGACATTGGTTAGCTTCGAACAAGGCAGTGCTGTTTGGTTGATTGGGACGCTTATTGACCGTGTACCGTGTTAGGGGTTCGATGTATGGCAGTTGCTTGCGTCCATAAAACCATATTGAGGCGCCTAAAAAACGAGAACGACCGTGTACCGAATTAGGGTTACGATGTCTACCAGTTGCTTGCGACCATACACCCACTTTCTAGGCGCCTCAAGAAGAGAGGGTGTCTGTCTACCGAATTAGGGTTTCGATGTATTGCAGTTGCTCTGAACCATACGACCAATTTCTAGGCGTTTCAAGAAGTTAGGGTGTCCATATACCGAATTAGGGTTACGACGTACAGCAGGTGCTTGCGGCCATATAGCTATAGCCTGACCATGTACCGTTCTAGGGTTACGGTGCTTCGCAGTTGCGGGTGTTGGATGGTTAGACGAGCATTGGCTGCTAGGCGAAAGTTGGGCGGCCAGTGGACGGCTTGGCGAGAATCTGGGAGCTAGACGAGCATTGGACGGTCTGGCGAGTTACCGAAGGCAGTGAGCCACAGTGAGGCAAACGATTGTGAGCTTTTGCGAGGGTGTACTTACCCGTAATCCATGTATGGGGTGGATTACATTACAGTACAGTACAGTACAGTACAGTACAGCTCATGTTACCGTGCACTGGTCTTATTGGCGCGTGCTAATATGCCCCTTGTGTCCCTGCGTCCCTCTCGTTCCACAGGCTTCGTTAGTATCAACTGCGGATACACGGGCCCCCCGTTTGTGGACAAACTCACCGGAATAAGGTGGCAGCCAGATCAATACTACAGCACAGGAGTAACCGACACTGCTCCTCCTCCCAAGGGCAAGCAGTGGGGGCCCTATGACGTGGACGCGACCATGCGCGTCTTTACAGAGTACCCCGTTAACTGTTATAACATCCCGGTGGCCAGGCCTGGGAGGTATCTGCTGCGGCTGGTGATGTACTATGGGAATTATGACAAGGCCAAGAGCCCGCCCGCGTTCAACGTCTCCTTTGGGATCTCATTCGCGTGAGTGTGTGTGTTGCGGCTGTAGGGTCTTTGTTCCTCGAGATTTGATTATGTTTTGGCTTCAATTCACACCCTATATTCCAGTGCCGCGTCGGGCGTTTCCTCACCCTCTGCTCATTCATGTGGTACATGCTTCGACTGATTTAAGATGGTTGGAACTGGCTGGGCTGCTATGTGCTGTGTGCTGCGTGCAGGGCGACGGTGGTGCTGGCGCTGAAGGAGAGGGTGGTCTCGGAGATCATTGGCCAAGTGGACTCAACAGAGCTCGAGGTATGTGGTGGATGGAAGGAAGGAGTGAGAACGAGAAAAGAAAGAGCTCGTGGTGTGGTTTGATTCGGCTCGGAACACACCTGGCTCTGAGGGAGAGGGTGGACTCTTGATTTATACCCACCCTCTGGGCGAAATCACCCATTTCTGGGGGAATCATTGGCCAAGTGGACTCTTGAATTTCGTGGTTCTCACTCAATCACCTTCTTTCTCATAACCCCCCCATCTCCCCCCCCCTCAACCCCCCTCTCCCCTTTCCCCCACACCCCCTTCCGCCTCCCCCCACCCCCTTCCCCAGGTGTGTTTCGTGAGCATCTACGGCAAGCCGCTGGTGAACGCGCTGGAGCTGAGGCTGCTGCCCCCGGAGTCGTACGTGTCGCTGCCCGACCCCTCCGGCGTCATGCTGCTCTGGTGGCGCCTCTTCTCCGCCAACGACTCGCGCACCAACCGCATGCTGCGGTGAGTGAAACGATGCTGCTGTGCTGTGCTCTTAAATTAAAGTGCCTATATCCACCATTCCACCATTCCACCCGTCCATCCCTCAACCCCTCTGTCCCTCCACCCCACCCCTGCAGCTACCCCTACGACCCCTTGGATCGCATCTGGGTTGCAGACGGCGTGATGGCCACCAGTGGGGACGCTGCCTCGTCCTCTCATCTCACTCACTTCCCTCACCTCCTGCACCCCGTTGTTGTTTCTTTCTCCCAACCACGCCGTGTCCCTCTTTCCACCCCTCTCCGCCACTGCAGCTACCCCTACGACCCATTGGATCGCATCTGGGATGCAGACGGCGTGATGGCCACCAGTGGGGGCGCTGCCTCATAAACCCTCATGTTTGACTATTCTCACCTCTCACCTATCACTTATCCACCCCTCTCCACCCTTCTTCACCCCTCCAGGTACCCCTACGACCCCTTGGATCGCATCTGGGATGCAGATGGGGTGATGGCCACCAGTGGGGGCGCCGCCTCATCCACCCTCATGTTCGACTATTCTCACCCTCTCACCTATCCACCCCTCTCGACCCCTCTCCACCCTTCTTCACCCCTGCAGCTACCCCTACGACCCATTGGATCGCATCTGGGATGCAGACGGAGTGATGGCCACCAGTGGGGGCGCTGCCTCGTCCACCCTCATGTTTGACTATTCTCTTGACTCCTACGTTTTTGGCACGCCTATTAATGTCAAGCCGGCCATAGGGGCTAGAGCCGTGGCTGCAGCTACTTCTGCTGCGTTAGGCATTGGGGATTCGGGCCGAACGGTGGTGGGGGAGAGTGCGTCTGTAGAAGCAGAGGAATCGGCACAAGCGGCGGCAACAGCAGCAGCAGCGGCAGCGGCAGCAGGAGCGGCAGGAGCAGCAGGAGCAACAGCACAAGCAGTCGTAACAGGAGCAGGAGCAGCAGTGGTGGGCGAAGGGACAACAGAAGCGCTAGCACCGGGAGAAGCAAGGGCAGCAGTGGTAGCAGCAGCAGCAGAGCAAGCACTCACAGGGAACGGCACAACCAACGCTGCTCCTGCCTTCCTCCAGCTCACAGCGCGCACAGTGCCACAGGCACCCAGTGGCACCATGGACAGCAGCAGTGGCCTGGAATACCAGTTTCAGTTCCTCGAGAGCCCTGCGAGTTTCCAGCTGATTCTGTACTTTGCGAACGTGGAGGGGCGGGTGAAGCGGGCGGGGGACATGGTGTTTGATATTGTGTTGAACGAGCAGGTGGTGGTTGGGGGATTTGATTTGTTTCTGCAGCTGCAAGGGGCGGGCAGGGCGGCACGGGCTGGGACAAGAGGCGTGGGGGGGAGTCGCGTGGGGGGAAGTGGCATGGGGGGGAGTGGCGTGGGGGGGAGTGGCGTGGGGGGGAGTGGCATGGGGGGGAGTGGCGTGGGGGGGAGTGGCGTGGGGGGAAGTGATGCTGGTGGTAGTGGTGGTGGTGATGCGACGGTTCATGCAGCTGCGATAGGCCTTGCTGCTTCTCCTGCCGCCGTGTCTCCTCCTGCCGCTCCGTCCTCTCCTCCTACCCCTTCAACCACCGCTCCTGCACCCACTTCTGCTGCTTCCGCGAGCAGTAGTAGCAGCGGCAGCACTGACAGTGCTCTGTACGCGCAGCAGGTGGTGATGGTGGTGGTGAATTTCACGAGTGTGGATCTCTACACCCCCGCCGTCCTGCTGCTCAGGCCCGCCGCTACCAGCCGCTTGCCGCCAGCCATCAGCGGCATCGAGATGTATGAGGTGTTCCCTGCGGCCAAGCCAACGCCCCCTGCTGAAGGTGGGTTTTGAGTTGATTCATGGGCGTGTTTTAAGTAAAGTTATAGCTTCCAAGCAGTGGCATCGAGATATACGAGGTTTTCCCTGCTGCCAAGCCTGCCAAGCCAAGTCCCCTTTCTCCCTTCATCCTCATCCCCTCGCCTCTTCCATTCTCCCACCAAATTCTCCCTCTTCTTCCACTTTCCTGCTCCCTTCCCTCCCCTTCTCCCATCCCCTTCTCCTCCACCTTCCCCCCCCCCCCACACCCCCCAACCCCCAGTCTCCGCCCTGCGTGATTTTCAGAGGCTACTGGGTGCGCCAGCGTCACTGGCAGGGTGGCAGGGGTCGGACCCCTGTAACCCCATCAAGTGGGCGGGCATTCAGTGCATTCAGGCTCAGGGGGACAGCGCGTCACACGTCAGCGGCATGTGAGTGGGGGGGAGGGGAACAAGTTTTTGTAAGGGCAAATACAGTCTCCTCGGCCCCATCTCCCCATCCCTTCTTCTGTCTGCTTGCTACACCCACAATCTCTCCTCTCCGTTCCCCTCCCATTCCTACCCACCAGCTATCTGGGCATCTACAGTCTCCACGGCCCCATCTCGCCAACTCTGGCTAACGTCTCCCGTCCTCTCCTCTCTCCTTGCTGCACCCGCAATCTATCCTCCCTTCCCTCCCTCCCCCCCCCATCCCTCCTCTTCCCCCCCCCCCCCAGCTATCTGGGCAACTACAGTCTCCACGGCCCCATCTCGCCATCTCTGGCTAACGTCTCTCGCCTGCAACACCTGTGAGTGACCCACGCTTGCTTCTCAGTCTCGCCTCTTTCAGTCTCGCCCTTCTCGGTCCCTTCCTTCTTGGACTCCAGTCTCGTCCTTCCAAGACCCACTTGCTTGTCTCTGCTACTTATGTTGGTTCTGTCTGCTCCCCTCCTTCCTCCCTCCCCTTATGTTGGTTCTGTCTGCTCCCCTCCTTCCTCCCTCCCCTTATATTGGTGCGACTTTTGAGAATTCTCAAAAGTCGCACCAATATAGCCGTCCTTCCAAGACCCACTTGCTTGTCTCTGCTACTTATGTTGGTTCTGTCTGCTCCCCTCCTTCCTCCCTCCCCTTATCTCTGTTCTGTTTTGGCAGTGTTGCATAAAAATCCCCTCCTCCTCCTCCTCCTCCTCCTCCTCCCCAAGCTGGCTCAATACGAACGAGCTGGTGAACAAGATTCCCACTCTTTAAGTGCCTAACTGTCCCCCCCACATCTCCCCTTTGTCACTTGACTGGCCCGAATCCCTCACTGCCTCTCCAGCTGGGTCAACGACAACAACCTGGTGAACGAGATTCCCAGCTCCCTTGGCGACTTGGGTGATCTCTCTACTCTGTGAGTGTTCTGTTCTGTTCTGTTCTGCCAGTTTATAATATCTTGCACTCCCTCACTCCCTCGCTCCCTCGTCCCGATGCTCCCTCACTCCCTGTCCCTCAGTCTGTTGCTCGCCTTTTCCCTCACTTCCTTGCTCCCTGATTCTCTTGCACCCTCACTCACTCTGCCGCTGCCCCAATCCCTTGCGCCCTCTCTCTCTCCATTTCCAGCCACAGTTCATCCCGCCCCCCTGCGTATATTAGTCTCTTTATTCCCGCTCCTTTTCCTAACTTCCCTTCTCCTGCCCCTCGTTTAGTCTCCCTCACTCGGACTCCTTCAACCTTCGTTCGCAGTCTGCTGCAGAGCAACCAACTTGAGTGGCTGGTTCCTTAGTCGCTCCTCGAGGCACCTCAAAGATTGTGTCCCTTGGTCTCTGTCTTTGAGGCGCCTCGAAAATCGTCTTCGAGGCACCTCAAAAATCGTCTTTGAGGCGCCTCAAAAACCGGTTCCTTAGTCGCTTCTTGAGGCACCTCAAAGATTGTTCCTTGGTCTCTGTCCAACCTTATTCCCCTCTCTCCTTCGCCCGTCCCCCACAACCCCTTCTGCTGTCTCTGCCACTGCCTCTCGTCTCCTTCTTCTCTCTCTCTCATTCCCGTGCCGTGCAGTCTATTGCAGAACAACCATTTAACGGGGGGGGTGCCTCAGTCGCTCACCAACCTCACCAATCTAGTCCAGCTGTGAGTCGTTTTCACTTCTTTCTGCTGCCGCCTTGTCGCTCACCAATCTCACCTATCAAGTCCAGCTGTGAGTTAACTGCCATGTGCGAACTCGCACTGGCACCACCAGTGCACGTTGTGTCAGTCAGTCATCTCGCACTGGCACCACCAGTGCACGTTGTGTCAGTCAGTCAGTCATCTCGCACTGGCACCACCAGTGCACGTTGTGTCAGTCAGTCAGTCATCTCGCACTGGCACCACCAGTGCACGTTGTGTCAGTCAGTCAGTCATCTCGCACTGGCACCACCAGTGCACGTTGTGTCAGTCAGTCAGTCATCTCGCACTGGCACCACCAGTGCACGTTGTGTCAGTCAGTCAGTCATCTCGCACTGGCACCACCAGTGCACGTTGTGTCAGTCAGTCAGTCATCTCGCACTGGCACCACCAGTGCACGTTGTGTCAGCCAGTCAGTCATCTCGCACTGGCACCACCAGTGCACGTTGTGTCAGTCAGTCAGTCATCTCGCACTGGCACCAGTGCACTGCACCTCAGTTGTTTCAGTCAGTCATTCCTCTCTCACTTCCTCTCTGCGCTTGCGCTTGCACCGTTTCCCTCTCTCCGTCCCCCTCTCCTTGATGATGCATGCTGCAGCAACGTGGCAAACAACAGCCTCACAGGAGTGTTCCCCTCTCATTTCAGACGTCTTGAAACCCAACCTTACCGCCTTTCCCCGCTCCCCGTTCCTCTCCCTGTTCTCCTCTCTCCTTTCCCCGCTCCCCGTTCGCCTCTCCTTGGCGATGCACACTGCAGCAACGTGGCAAACAACAGCCTCACGGGAGTGTTCCCGTTCAACTTGACCACGCAGTTCATTCAAGTCGTGTAAGTGGCACACGGGGGCACATGGGCACACGGGCACATGAGCACAGGGCACACTTGTTAAGTTCTGTTGTTGATTTCTGTTCTTCACCTCTGTTCCCGTTCAACTTGACCACGCAGTTCATTCAAGTCGTGTAAGTGGTGCAGTGGCACAGCACAAAAAGCACAGCGGGCACAGGGGGCATAGGGGGCATAGGGGGCACAGGGGCAGCACAGGGGGCACAGAGGGGACACAGTTTTTTGTTCTTGAGCTGTGTGTGTGGGTCGTGGTTCTGTCCTCCACCTTGCACAAATCGCTCCGCCTTGCACAAATCGTTCCGCCTTGCACAAATCGCTCCGCCTTGCACAAATCGACAAATCCCTCTCTTCCCCTTGCTCTCCTCCTTCTCCCTCCTTTCTCTTCCCCTTCTCTCGCCTATCTCCCCCCTGCCCCCTTCTCTCCCTTCCCCCAGTGCCACGGGCAACGACCTCTGCTCCCCCCAAGGCCTCTACGATCTCCCCTATTGCGGAGACTAATAGAGCACCACGTAGGTGCCATCAGGCTAATTCGCTTTCCTATTCCTCTCCCCCTTCCCCCCGTCTCTCCCCCTCCCTTCCCCCAGTGCCACGGGCAACGACCTCTGCTCCCCCCAGGGCCTCTACGATCTCCCCTACTGCGGAGCCCTCCCCCCTCCGCCCCCCCCTCCCCTCTCCCCCCCCGCTCCCCCACCAGCACCAGCCCCCACCTCCGCCTCCGCTCCCCCTTCCGAGGCCTTCCCTCCCTCTCCTTCAACTCCCGACTCAAGTGCTGCGAGGGGAAATGTGCTGGTGATATCTCTGGCAGTGTCGTTATCAGTTGCTGCTATTGCTTCGGCGCTGGTGGTGTGGATGTATCTCAAAGGCGCCTGGAAGGACAGGGCGAAGGGGCAAGGGGGGGAGAAGGAAGCGGAGGAGAAGCGGAGTGAAGTGGCAGCAGCGGGGGGAGGTGGAGGGGACGGTGGGGAGGGGGATGAGGGATCGGGGAAAAGAGGTGATGGGAATGGTGGGGGGAGTGGAAGGGGAGGGGATGAGAGTGGGAGGCGAACAGTTGGTGTGTCACGGAGCAGATCAAGGGAAGACAGAGGGAGTGAGAGGGGGGGTGAGAGTGGGAGGAACGGGGAGAGGGCGAGAGGGAGAGGAGAAGGAGGGGGATCCAGTGATAGGGAGAGAGATTCCATGCCTCTTTCCGGACCTAACTCCAGCTCTACCGAGCCTCTGTTGCCCAATGGGAATGTATCCGAACGTAAGAGTGATCCCAATGTGGAAGGTTCTGCTCCTGCCATCACTGCTACAGATGCAGCCCCAGGTGCCGCAGCAGCAGCAGCTACAACAGCGGAGGCGGCGCACAACGGACAAAAAGCGCCGCCCAACGGGCTGGCGGTGGAGGCGGCGCCGTTCACTGTGCCGTCCACGCACGTGCAGCGGATGAGTCTGGCAGAGCTGGAGGAGGCGACGGGGGGGTTCTGTGAGGAGCATATGATCGGTGCTGGGGGGTTTGGACCGGTGTATCGGGGCGTTCTGGCGAATGGGCGAGTGGTGGCTGTGAAGCGACGAGCGGTGGATTCTATGCAGGGGTCGACGGAGTTCAATAATGAGGTGCGTGCGTGAGTAGTCAGTGAGCTGTTAAGGCACGGGTGGGTTTGGACCGGTGTATCGTGGCGTGCTGGCGAATGGGCGCGTGGTGGCTGTCAAACGGCGAGCGGTGGATTCCATGCAGGGGTCGACAGAGTTCAATAATGAGGTGAGTCTGTGAGAGAGTGAGCCTTATGGGATTATTTCTCTTCAGGGGTTTCTGAGTCTGGCAGAGCTGGAGGAGAGGAGGCCACACACAGGGGGGTTTCTGTGAGGAGCAGCTGATCGGTGCGGGTGGGTTCGGGCCGGTGAAGCAACGAGCGGTGGATTCTATGCAGGGCTCGACAGAGTTCAACAACTAGGTGAGTGAGTGAGAGGCTCATAGCTAGGAGACGTATGGGGGCTCAGAGACGGGCTGTGAGGAGCAGGTGATGGGTGCACGGTGTGCTGTCGAATGGGCGGGTGGTAGCAGTGAAGCGACGAGCAGTGGAGTCGATGCAGGGATCAACCGAGTTTAACAAGGAGGTGAGTGAGTGAGTCGATTTCCCATCAAAATCCTCGTGCCACTCACACCTCACTAATGAACCTGACAGTGCCCCCTTCCCCCCCTCCCCACCCCCTTCCCCCACTGATGGGATCAGTGGTGAACCTGATCCTCCTGCCACTCACACCTCCTCACTAATGAACCTGACAGTGCCACTGATCCTTACCTGCCTGCCCACCCCCTTCCCCCCCTCCCCACCTTCCATCCTGCCCCTATGCCAGCTCAAGATCCGCCACCCCCACCTGGTGGCGCTGGTTCACTCATGTGCTGACCACCCACCCCCTGTCCCCCTGCCTTCCCCTTCTTCCCCTCCTTCCCCCCCTCTCACCAGCTCAAGTTCCTGTCGAAGATCCGCCACCCCCACCTGGTGGCGCTGATTGCCTTCTGTGAGGAGCAGGGCCGCATTCTGTTTGATTAGATGCGCCTCAGGAATAGACCCTCCCTCTGTCTGCACTAATCCTCTCCCCTCTCCCTCCTGTCTGCACTGATCTCCTCTCCCCTCTCCCTTCCTCCCCGCCCCACCAGCTCAAGTTTCTGTCCAAGATCCGGCACCCCCACCTGGTGGCGCTGATAGCGTTCTGTGAGGAGCAGGGGCAGCAGCTGCTGGTGTATGAGTTCATGGCGCAGGGCAACTTGCGGGAACACTTATACGGTAAGTGGGGAGGATTCTATAAGGGGTACAAACTGGAGTAGCTGCTGGTTTATGAGTACATGTCACAGGGCCACTTGCGGGAGAACTTATACAGTGAGTCCGGATGATGCTATAGAGAGTATGAATTGGAGCAGCTACTGGTGTATGAGTTCATGGCGCAGGGCAACTTGCGGGAGCACGTAAGCAGGGATGATGCTACAGAAAGAATAGATTAGAGGACGATGCTTATCCTGCTTGCGTTTTGGTAACCACTTCTTTCTCTGTGGCTTGCTGTGCTGCAAACTTCACTCCTCCCTTTCCACTGCGCCATTTCAAATCCTCCCTTTCACGCTACCACCCCGTCTCAATGCGGTGCAGACCGGTTGGGAGCGCCAAGGGGACGGTTGCGGTGGCTGCAGCGCCTCTCCATCGCTGTTGGTGCTGCTAAAGGTAGGGAGAGGATGAGGGAGTGGGGAGAGTAGGGGGGGGGCCAAGAGGATAGGGGGAGAAGTAAACGGATGGGGGAGGGGAAGGGGTGAAGGGGTGAAGGGTTGGATAGGATAGTTCATCGTCTGTCACCCCAAAGGGACAACCATGTGCTTTTCACCTCACTTTTTCCTGTCTCCTTCGTTCTCTCTTCTTATACCCTCCTTCTGTGTTTTCCGATTCCTCTTGTCCCTCCAGTTCCTCCACTTTCCTCTCTGCCCCGTTCCTGTCTTTTTCTCCTCCTCCTCCTCCAACCCCTCCCCGTCAATGGTCTCAGCTCCTCTTCTGCCCTCTCATTTCCCCCCAGGCATAGAGTACCTGCACGTGGCCCTGCGTCCATCCATCATTCATCGCGACATCAAGACCACCAACATCCTACTGGACGACAGCCTCTCATTCACCCTCTTGCTCTTTCCTTCGCACCCTTCCCCCCACTTGCACCAGGAATTGAGTACCTGCACGTGGCCCTGCGCCCCTCCATCATTCATCGCGACATCAAGACCACCAACATTCTCCTCGATGACAGCCTCTGCGCCAAGGTCGCTGACTTTGGGCTGTCCCGCCTGGGGCCGCAGGACGACACGCACGTGTCAACCAATGTGAAGGGCACAGCCGGTTACCTGGACCCAGAGTGAGTGTGCTGACCAGGGGCGTTGCTTGGAGGGATTGCCTGGTACTGGGGCAAGCAGGGTCGCTGACTTTGGGCTCTCCCGCCTGGGCCCTCAGGACGACACGCACGTGTCAACTAATGTCAAGGGCACAGCTGGTTACCTGGATCCAGAGTGAGTGTGCCGACCAGGGGCCTTGCTTGGGGGGATTGCCTGGTACTGGGGCAAGCAGGGTTGCCGACTTTGGGTTGTCCCGCCTGGGCCCTCAGGACAACACGCACGTGTCCACCAATGTGAAGGGCACTGCCGGTTACCTAGACCCAGAGTGAGTGTGCTATGTGCTCACGAGATGCCCTAACGGGGTGGTGGGTTGACAGGGAAAGGTGGGGGTTCTGGTGAGTAAAAGACGAATGGGTGGTTCTGCTGGAGCTGGTCAGTGGGCGAGTGAGTGGGGGGCAGGGAGACAGGAAGTCTAGGAGACTGCCTCACTCACCCCCTCTCCCTCTCCCTCTCCCTCTCCCTCCCCCTCCTTTTCCAACCCCTCCCCCCCCCCCCCCCCCAGGTACTACACGGTGCAGCAGCTGACGGATCGCAGTGACGTGTTCAGCTTTGGAGTGGTTCTGCTGGAGCTGGCCAGTGGGCGAGTGGGGGACTGGGAGACCGGAAAGCTGGGAGACAGTCTCACTCAAGTCACTTCTTGAACCCTCCCTCCCCTTCATCTTGCAATGCCCCCCTCCACCGCAAGATGAAGGGGGTGGTGCTGCTGGAGCTGGTCAGAGGGCGGCTGGGGGACTGGGAGACCGGAAAGCTGGGAGACAGCTCCACTCAGGTCTTTCCTTACCTTCTCTACCTCTCCCTCCTTCCCGCTCCTTTTCCAAACCCCCTCAACCTCCCCCCACCAGGTACTACACGGTGCAGCAATTAACGGATCGCAGTGACGTGTTCAGCTTTGGAGTGGTTCTGCTGGAGCTGGTCAGTGGGGGACAGGGAGACAGGAAGACTGGGAGATTGCCTCACACTCACTCACCCCCTCCTCCCTCCCACTCCCCTTCCTATCACCCCCCCCCCTCCCCCCCCCCCTGCTCCTCTCAATCTCCCCCCACCAGGTACTACACGGTGCAGCAATTAACGGATCGCAGTGACGTGTTCAGCTTCGGGGTGGTTCTGCTGGAGCTTGTCAGTGGGCGGCAACCCATCGACCTCAGCCGCCCACGCGTCGACTGGAACATCATTGACTGGGTGCGTGCGTTGACTCATGTTGACTGCTGTTGACTGCCGTTGACTGCCGTTGACTACTGTTAACTGCTGTTGACTGCAGCTGACTGCCGTTGACTGCAACTAGTTGCTGTTCTTGGCTGGTTATGTCGGAATCTGAATAATTCTGGCCCCCCTTCACTTGCCTGCCTCTCCCAACCTTCCATTCTCCAGTTCTCCCCTCTCATCCTCCTCCCTGGCCCTCCCTTTCTCAACTTCCCCTCTCCTTTCCCCAGGCACGCAAGCACCTGCATCAGGGGGACATAGAGGCAATAGTCGATCCCACACTCCCCCTTCAGAGTTCCTCCTAGATGCCATGTGGAAGGTGGTGAGGTGGAGATTCAGTATGTTGAGCCCCTATCATCCTCTCTCACTTTTTCTCCCTCTGCGTGTTCCCCTCTCCCTTTGCTCCTGCGACGCCACAGGCGCGCAAGCATCTGCAGCAGGGGGACATAGAGGCAATCGTCGACCCCACACTCCCCCCCTCGGAGTTTCTAATAGATGCCATGTGGAAGGTGGCCGAGGTGGGCATTCTCTGTGTTGAGCCTCCATCATCCTCTCTCACCTTTTCTCCCTCTGCGTGTTCCCCTCTCCCTTTGCTCCTGCGACGCCACAGGCGCGCAAGCATCTGCAGCAGGGGGACATAGAGGCAATAGTGGACCCCACACTGCCCCCCTCGGAATTTCTCCTAGATGCCATGTGGAAGGTGGCTGAGGTGGGCATTCTCTGTGTTGAGCGAACCCACAGGCAAACACTCTCCTCTCTCTGCCTCTCCCTTCCCAATCCCCCCTTTCTTGTGTTCGCAGGCGCGCAAGCATCTGCAGCAGGGGGACATAGATGCAATAGTCGACCCCACACTGCCCCCCTCGGAGTTTCTCATAGATGCCATGTGGAAGGTGGCCGAGGTGGGCATTCTCTGTGTTGAGCCCATGGGCATCAACCGGCCGAGTATCAGTGAGGTGGTGCGGGAACTTGGAGAGGCTGTTGCTATGGAGTTATCGAATACGCCTGTAAGGAATCATTTTCACCAGCACCAGCACCAGCGGCAGCACCAGCACCAGCAGGGGCAGGGGCAGCAGGGGGATGGGCAGCGGGAAGGGCAGCAGGAGGAGTGTGAATCTGAGATAGGGGTGAATTATGGTGATGAGAGGGGGGAAGGGAGAGGTGGAGGTGGGGAGGAAGGAGGAAGGGGTGGAGAGCGGTTGGGCGGTCGACAAGGCTATTACTCCACGTTGACGTTTTCTCGCTCGGGATCCAACGGTGGAGATTCGTCGAGAGGAGCTGATGGGCGGAGACGTCCGGATGGTGGCGGGGGAATGGAACACGAGGCTCGGGACACCCCTGAGCAGAGGTTTGGGAGAGGGGAGAATCCGAATAGAGTGGTCCCGGCTGAGCTGGCGATGAGCTGGCGAGGAGAAGCGGGGGAGGCGTCAGGAGGTATGAGAGGGGATGGGGATGGGAGTGGGGAAGTGTGGGCGGAGATGGGAGGTGTGAGTGAGAGAGTGAGTGGGGGAGTGAGTGAGGGAGTGAGTGAGAGAGAGAGTGGGAGAGTGGGCTGGAGAGGTTCAGGAGAAGGGTTGGCAGGGATGGGTGGGGGTGATTGGAGTGGGAGCAGTGTGGGGAGGCAAGCGAGTGGAGGAGGGGTTGAAGCGGTCGGAGTAGGGGGAGGAGGAGGAGGGGGAGGAGGGAGAAGAAGAGGGGATGGAGGAGGAGGAGAGGGAGGGATTGCGGTGGGGTTCAGAGGTCCCGGGAGTGGAGGAGAGATGTACATAAGGAGAGGGGGGTCGTCAGAAGAGCTCTTGTCGCACGGTGGGGTGCAAGGCGGAGGGGTGCAAAGAGGTGGAATGCAAGGGGGAGCGGTGCAAGGGGGTGGCCTCATGGCGGTGTCAGACTCGTTGATGAGGCGGAAAAGAGAAGGAGAATCTTACAACGGCCCGATTTCCCGGCCGAACTTGCCTTTGGGTAGCGGAGGAAGAGAGGGGAGAGGGTGCAGCGAGGGGAGAGAGGGGATAAGGGGGATAGGGCAAGGAGGGTTCTCTGGAGAAAGTGTGGAAGCAGATATGATGATGGCACAGGCGCCACACGGGGATTACATGATGCTCAGGAAGGTACAGCAAGGGTCCATGTCGCCGCCCGTTCCGCAGGAGAAACGGCATTTTTCAGCTGAGGACAAGCCTCGGTTTGCCTCGCCGTTCGGGCAGCCTGGTTTCCAGCCCCGTGCAGGCGGCCGAGATTTCGAATCTGCCCGAGAGCCGGCGGGAGGACACGGTGTGGGGGGGAATTTGGAGGGAAAGAGACGAATGAGTGACGGGGAAGGTGTGGATTTGAGTACAGGCAGAGGGGATGGGCGTGCGCTGAGGGGAGAAGCTTCTATGAGAGATGACCTGCGGCCAGATTATGAAATGTCTAGGTCTCACGAAGAGCCACTGCATGATTCCGGATTCGAGGTATCTCGACCGCACGATTCGGATTTCGAGCGATCTCGGCCGCACAATCTGGTTACCGCCACTGCATCGTCATTGTCAGCAGTGGAGTTGGCTGAAATGTCTTCAGACTCGTGGCGGGAAACCCCTTCCCTGCCGTTCTTAGTGCCTAGCCAGGGGCAGGAGCAGTTGAGTGGAAGACTCGATGAGAGGGTAGTGGGGGTTGAAAAGACCGAGCAGCGGAAAATGGCTGTTCTCGCTCAATCGGCACCGTCACAATAAGTAGAATGTGTATTTATATTGTTGTTTCTGTTGTGAATGTACACTTCCCAAAGCACCTGGGTGCTTACAGAGTACCGTTGTAAGAATAAGTTGTTAGGTGTCTAGATCTTTCTCACATGGAAGTGGAAAGGTTTGGTGGTACAAGGAAGTAACCAGTAACTATAGGGGAAGTTGTGGATGCTGAGCAGGTGTACCCTGCAAGGACGTGGTGCCTGTACTCCAGGAATTACTTGCGGAAAAATTCCGGGCAACAAGAGAGAAACAAGAGAGCACTCGATTCCGGGAAACGATGTATTGTGTATGTTGAGATTGTGATGTTTTCACCCTGGACTCTCGATGGCGCTACTTGTCTGGCCGATAATTTGCCCATTAATCACGCTAACATGTTGTGGGTGGAATTTGGCTCCAGATACATGTTCAACCAGGCCAGATTCATCCAACTACCGTATTCAGTATGAGTCAGAGGCATTTAACAACTTCATACGTGGGGCAACTGCATGCTAGAGTTGTTGAGAATGAAGTGAATGTGATGTGACTACTACACACACAATATGGACTTATAGAAAGTCATTTTCCACATGTAGATTTTCCAGGTTGTTAAAATCGTGCTGTTTCTATAGGGTATCCGAGGAGAACCGAGTACTGTAGGCCTCTCGCTGCCAAGCTGGACACCTCATGCCGATCAGGTTCAGGTGTCGAACCAGGCTCGTGTGAAGCATAAACCTGATCAGCATGCGTCTCGTGGTTTGCAAATAGGTTCGGATACACCTGAGAATCTACCCAATCACGAACAAGCAACGTGACAATACAAGGCAGATCGGATCCAGCACAGCACTATGTTACTGTGAAGCCTAGCTCGCCGCAGAGGAACCAACACAGCCGCGACTCGGTTGCTCGGTCTCGCTCCCTACAAATGCTCATGCCCCACCATTTCCTCCCATCAGGCATGGAAACTTGTATCTAGTAGTCCGCACGCGATAGAACAGAATTCAACTCGACTGTACGATACTCCTACTTTTGTATTGTACTTCTTTACGACGCAACGCAAAACCTTGTTTCTAATTACGACTCTCCCAGCTTTGCAGTTTCGATTCCCAGAATGGCTAGAGCCGCGCTTCTCGCGCTGTCCCTGGCGCTGCTGCTCGCAGTCGCCCGCGCCGGCAGCCCCCTGACCAGCGCCACCGCGAACGAGAAACCCGACCAGAGCAGCAAGAAGGACGACGGGCTCATGACCGAAATCCCCGCGGATATCGCAAAGCAGGCCGCGTCGGGCAACGCGGCGGGAGTTACCTACGTGGATACCGCGCAGGACTCGTTCTTCATGGCCGACGTGAAGAAGGCCGGATGGAACGCGCAGAAGTGCCCGCCGGGATTGAACAAGGAGCTTGCGGGAGCGTGCACGCCCAAGAATTGCTCCAAGGGCGGCATCGCCGCTAAGTGGAAAACCGCTTATCTGCAAAAGAACAAGCTCGGTTACGAGCTGTACGTGCCGGGTAACCCGCTGACGCTGCTCAAGGCGAACCCCGCGTCGTGCTGTAACACGTGCGCCGCGACGCCGCTCTGCACGTACTGGCAGTACATCCCCGATATTACCATCGACGGGAAGAAGGGCAAGGGCGCGTGTTATCTGATCCACGATCAGATTGACTTCACCTGCGGAGAGATGACCGCGCAGTATTCGACGGAAACGAAGCCGGTGAATCTGCAGGTGCGCATCGGCGGAGAGTGCAACCCTAGCGCGAAGATCCTCAACGACCCGCATTTGGTGGGCGCGCACGGCACGCATTTCGACTTCAACGGCCGCCCCGACAAGGCGTTCTGCCTGCTCACGGACCGCGACCTTCACGTGAACATGCTGCTGAGGGGGTACTATGATGAGCGCACCGATAATGCCGCGCTCGTGGTTGACGGAAAGGCCGTGCACACGTGGATTAAGGAGCTTGGCATCGTCTGGACCACTCAGGGCGCGGATCACAAGGTTCGGCTCGCGGCGCGCGGCGGCAAGCAGCAGGAGCGCGGCGACGGGTTCATGAAGAGCATCGAGATTGACGGCGAGGAGATCCCGAGGATGAAGGTTGGCGACACGGTGACGACCGGCGGCGGGTTGACGGTTCACTTCCGCGGGCTCGAGAAGGAGGGACCGTTCGATGTGGATTACTACATGCTGACGATCGACGGTCTGATTTCGCTGGATCTGCGCCTGCGCGTTGCGCACCCGAAGTTGCAGACCCCGACCGACGCCGAGGCGCACATCAACGTCGGGATTGCCGAGCTGGAGCACACAGAGGAGATTCACGGTGTGTTGGGGCAGACGTACCGCGCGGATCATACGCAGCGCGCTGCCGATTTCCAGCGCTTGATCGCGAGCCTGCACCGTCCCATTTCTGCTGACGGCGCGGAGTGGAAGGGATTTTTGGATGGCACACCCAGGTCGTATGAGGCGAGTGATGTGCTCGCTGTGGACTGCGCTTATACCGCGTATGGCCGAGCCAGGAAGGTTATGCCCGTGCAACAGTTCCCCTAAAGGGTTGACTCGGTGACAGCTTTTATTTTTGTATTGTACAGCGGGCTGCTTTGGATACTACTGTAGGTTTATAGATAAGTTGGCCGATTTGTTTATTCTTCCGACAATGATATCAAACATGAGAAACTTCCACATTCATTGACCTGGTATGCAGCATTGACATCCAGAAACGAAGTAGTCCATCTGTTCAACATAATCATCTCACTAGTAACATGCATCTAGACATCCATCTAAGACGGATTCTACCTTTGAGCTACCCTGCTTGTCTAGATTTATTATTTTCTGTTGACTTGACCTAATGAATTGCAATAACATGCCAACAACAGATGCTAGTGGTGCTGCCACAGGTTGCTGCAGAGAAACTACGGCAGGGGAAGGTTGTGGCATCCTGGGGCAGATTGTTGCACAGTGTAGCATTGATGAAGGAGGTTACAGCACGGGGACAGGGGCAGGTTGCAATGCAGCAACAGGAGCAGCTTGTAACGAGGCTACAACTGCAGTACCAGCAGGCGGTGGCGTTTGTGACTCAAACGAAGCCTGCATTAGCACCACACCAGCACCAAACCCCCCTGCGCCTGTTACACTCTCCAACAGCAATGCCCGTGCAACAGTTCCCCTAAAGGGTTGACTCGGTGACAGCTTTTATACTTGTATTATACAGTGGGCTGTTGAATTATATTGCATATCCTAACTGCCTACAGCTTGCTAGTGTATTAGTTAGTTATTAGGTTCAACTGCTGGTGGTGTACCCTATCCTCTCCCCTATCCTATATCTTGTAAACATTCCTTAGTGAATCCCCTCTTTGCCCAATTCTCTTGCCATGCTCACTCTCGACACTCACGCTTCCTAGGTAAACCCTAAGTTACTAAGTCAAGAGTTAAGAGCGTGTTCTGACATGATATCAGAGAGTGGTCCCTCCTAGGACCTCGTTTTCATGGGCCCACCAAACCCGCGATCTGCCATGGCGACTTATTGTGCTGCTGGCATGGCTGCTACTGCTAGTAGCGCGAAATCCGCTGCTGGCTCGAACTCCGCTGCTTTTGCAGCACCCGTCGCGCTGCCCCCTTTCGCCTGCCCCGTCGCGCTCTGCCAGTGGCGAGCGTGCCAGCGAGGCGACGGCGGGCGCCAGCGCAAGCGCCAACGGCGGGCGCCAGCGCCAACGGCGGGCGCCACCGCCAGTGCCAACGGCGGTCGCAAGCGCCAGCGCGGACGCCAGCGCCGACGGCGGGCGCTAGCGCAAGCGCCAACGGTGGGCGCCAGCGCCAGCGCGACGCCAGCGCCCAGCGCCAGCACTTCCGCCAGCGCCAGCGCATGGGGGGGAGGGGGATGAGGGGGTGGCGGGAAAGCTTCTGCCGCGCCAGCCACCTCCTCTCCTCTCCTCTCCTCTCCTCTCCTCCTCCTCTTCTCCTCTCCTCTCCTCTCCTCTCCTCTTCTCCTCCAGCCGCATCTCCTCCTCTCTCCTCTCCTCTCCTTCTGCCGCATCTCCTCCTCCAGTCTCCTCTCCTATAGCCGCATCTCCTCCTCCTCTCTCCTCTCCAGCCGCATCTCCTCTGCTCTCCTCCTGTGCACCACCACCAGCTTCCTCCTCCTCACCAACAGTTGTGTTTGCTCGTAGATGGCGAGCGACCAGCATCCTTCGCCCTCCGGCTATCCCAGCCCTCCTCCGCGCTCTCCGCGCCCTCCTCCGTTCTGGCGTTCACAGGTGCTGCCGCTCAGCCACCGCTGTTTCTGTGCCTATCCCAGCTACAGCAACCGCTCTCCAGGCGACCTGGTGCCAGACACCACTAGCTATAGCCGTAGGCAGTTACGGGGGTGTGTTGAATTATATTGCATATCCTAACTGCCTACAGCTTGCTAGTGTATTAGTTAGTTATTAGGTTCAACTGCTGGTGGTGTACCCTATCCTCTCCCCTATCCTATATCTTGTAAACATTCCTTAGTGAATCCCCTCTTTGCCCAATTCTCTTGCCATGCTCACTCTCGACACTCACGCTTCCTAGGTAAACCCTAAGTTACTAAGTCAAGAGTTAAGAGCGTGTTCTGACATGGGCTGCTTTGGATGCTAGGTTTACAGATAAGCAGGCTGATTCGTTTTTTCTTTGAAGATGGAATGAGAAACCCTTCACATTAATTGACCTGATATGCAGCAGCATTGACATCCAGTACGGTACGGTAGCCCATTTCTCCACCAAATCTCACTAGAAACGAAACCTGCCAGCCAGCCCTGGACATGCATCAAAGACAGAATTAAATGATGTAGCTCTAGTGGTGCAATTGTTTTTACAGGATGTTAACAAAATATTCTACACTCGCCGTGCGTTATCTCAGTACTCGCCAGCATGTTCCTCATCTTCGTTATCTGGACTTGACCATCGGCGTTCTCAAGTTTGGGTTGCATAGCCCCGAGAATATCTGGTCAGCCACGAGACTTCGCTTGTGAATGTTCAGGCTGGTAAGCAGCGGTTGAAAGCGGTGAGACAAAGCAACCATTCTAGAGCGCACAACATCGTTCTCTACCGCTTTTAGTGAGCAAAAGTTGCTCTCGTGGACTCGCCTGGGGAAACCTCTGATTCCCCTCGGCAATATCTGAGCTTCCACTTCGCTCTATGTTTTCAGCTGTATCATTTGAATGACTCCGAAAATGGCTTCCTCGAGACTAGTGGTAGCAATGCCTCCCCCTCGCGCTGCGGCGATGTGGATCGCCGTCGTATTGGGTAGGACTCGGGTCATTTTTTTCTGTTATGTATTCCACATTTTTTACTATTGTTTGATCGGTTTACTGGAAGTGTGAGAGTCAAGGTACGAACAGTGTCGTTGCACTGAAACCCCCATACCGTAGATTCCGTCAATGCTACCTCGTCATATGGTAGAAATTTCGAGATGTCTCAAATGCACATGGTCTGTGCGCGAATCATTCCTCGTCAACGTTCCTTCAATGTTTCCTCGTCAACGTTCCTTCAATGTTCCTCGTCAACGTTCCTTGTCAACGTTAATGTTTCCTCGTCAACGTCAATGCCAGCTATTCAGTTTACACCTCGTCAACGACTGACGCACGCTTAGTCAGTTTACACTGCGGCTTTTTAGACCCTGCTTTTCCTCAATAAAGCAAATGCGATCAGCTTTTCTTGGCATTGTCGCCCTAATTGAGTCGTCGCCACCGCATTGTGCTCGCGCAAAGAATTTAAGCACTTCTTTCCTTACTGAGAAGCCTCGGAAGCATATCACGTGGAACGCGGCGGCGAGACACTTTTGCCTCTTCGTTTGTTTGTTTGTTTGTTTGTTTTATTGTCCTCCTCCCTCATGCTTCTTAAAACCTTCATATGCCTCTCATCTCCTTGCATTCTCTTCCGTTTTCCCCACCCCGGCGCGACCTCAGGCCCCCTTCCCCCCCTCTTCCACCTCCCCCCCGACAAACCCGGCCATATAACTGAAACCGAGCCTGAAATGCCATTGATTTTTACCCTCCCACCCCCTGTCGCTCCCTCTCCCCGTTCCCCCTTTGCCCCCTGTTTCAGTGGTGTCGCTCGCCCTCGTCCCCGCAGCAGCTGCGCTGCGTTACGGGCAAGCAGAGCCCCCTCCCAAGCTGGACTATGCGTCGTGTGCGGCGGAGGTGGAGGAGTGGGTGGATGTCCAGATGGCTGAGACAGCGGAGGTGCAGTGGCAGCGGGAGGAGCGGACAGCGAGTGGCGAGAGCCCCATGCCGCAGACTCTCTTCTTCCTGCACGTGGCTCGCGCAGGAGGGAGGACGTATCACCAGTGGTGGGTGTGATTGCTGCGAGTTATGCGTGTAGGAGATGTGATTGTCACGAGGTGTGATGCAGAACCTTTCACCAGTGGTGGGTGGCTTTCAAGACGCTGGGCTGTGCTTGCCCGCATTTGGCAAAAAAAATACTCTTACAGAGTGCGCTTGTTGCTTGACTTGAAGCATCCCCTGAACTGAACCATGCTCAGTGTGTGCTCATGCCCGGCAGGAAGCAGGAGCGAAGGCATCTGGCTTACTGACTCTTGCCTCTGCTCGCGTTGTTCCCTTGCTCCCCCTCTTCCGTCTTACCTCCCTCCCCTATGGATTCCACAGCTTCTTGAGTACGCTCATGCCCAGCACCGTGCAGTGCAACATGTGACTCTTAAGTCGACGCAAAAGTCTTCTCTTGCTCCCTCTCTTACCTCCCTCCCTCCCCTGTGGTTTTCGCAGCTTCCTGAGTACGCTCATGCCCAGCACCGTGCAGTGCAACATGTCTGGAGTCGACTCAAAAACCTCCCCTCCCCGTCTTGCTCCCTTGCTCTCCCTCTTACCCCCCTCCCTCCGTCCCTTGTGCTCCCCGCAGCTTCCTGAGTACACTCATGCCCAGCACCGTGCAGTGCAACATGTGACGCTCGAGTCGACTCAAAAGCCTCCCCCTCCCCGCCTTGCTCCCTTGCTCTCCCTCTTACCCCCCTCCCTCCGTCCCTTGTGCTCCCCGCAGCTTCCTGAGCACGCTCATGCCCAGCACCGTGCAGTGCAACATGTCATACCACGTTCTTCGAGACGACCCCACGTGAGTCACATGTGCTGCTTTTACCTATACCCTCACATCGCATGCACATACCCTCACATGCACTGCCCAGCTACCAGTAAGCAGCCCCGTGCAGTGCCACATGTCGAACCACGTGCTTCGAGTCGAGACAACCCCACGTGAATCATGTCATGTCACATGCGCTATGCCTTCTATGTGGAGTACGCACAGTAAAGCACCGTGCAATTCAACATGGCATCATGTCAATAAGTCATGTCATGCCACCATATCTGGGCTGTTGTTTCCTGGTCACGCCCCCACCAGCATGGGGTGTCGCCTGCTAGCCACGCACGACGACTACGGAATGACCACTCACCTCCCTCCCGGTACCTCTCTCACCCTGCATTTTCCCCTCCCCCTGTCACCTTCCTTCCTCATAGCATGGGGTGTCGCCTGCTAGCGACACACGACGACTACGGCATGACCACGCAGCTCCCTCCCGGCGCCGCTACCGGCGCCACAACCCTCTTCCGTGAACCACTCGACCGCGTGCTGTCCATGTACGAGTTCTCGGTGCACATCTCGGGGTGCAGCATGGGGCTGGACCTCAAGCAGTCTTCGAGGCGCCTCAGAAGTCGTCAGCATGGGGCTGGACTGGACCTCAAGCAGCTGCCGGATCCGATGGGCGTCACCACGCTTCTCACCCTGCCCTGCCCCATCTCCCACTTCTGTCCCCTCCCCATCCCACGCCCTCCCACCAGTATGGGGTGTCGACTGCTAGCGACACACGACGACTACGGAATGACCTCGCAGCTCCCGCCCGGCGCCGCCACGGGCGTCACGACACTCTTCCGTGAACCCCTCGATCGAGTGCTGTCCATGTACGAGTTCTCGGTGCACATCTCGGGACGCAGCATGGGGCTGGACCTCAAGCAGCTGCCGGATGAGACGCTGTACGCCGCCCGGCGCAAGATGCGCGAGCATTATAGGAATCTGGTGCCGACGGACACGAGGAACGTGTGGCCGTGGACGTCCCTGTCTGTGACCATGGAGGAGGATCTATGGGACCGGGTGAGTGCATGAGACGCACAGTGTATGTGTGAGTGAGTAAAGTGAAGGAACGGAGAGCTCCACAGCAGCAGCAGAATTAATGTGAATCTGGTGCCGACGGACACGAGGAACGTGTGGTCGTGGACGTCTCTCTCGGTGACCATGGAAGAAGATCTGTGGGACCGGGTGAGTGCAAGCAAGCAGTGCGGAGAGCAACGCAGAGAGCAGTGCAGAGAGCAAGGCACCAAGTAGCGCTTAGAGCAGTGCAGCGAGAACCATAGCAGCAGCAGCATTACAGGAACCTGGTGCCGACGGACACGAGGAACGTGTGGCCGTGGACGTCACTGTCGGTGACCATGGAGGAAGACCTGTGGGACCGGGTGAGTGATATGATATGCGTAATGCATGTATAAATAGGTAGAGCCTATGAGTGAGTGAGTGGTGGGTGAGTCGAACAAGCAGAGAGCACTGACCGGTGCAGAGAGCACTGCACGCAGCACTACGCTACACACAGATCAAAAGGCAGTGGTACATAGGGCAGGGCTTTACCGGAATCTGGTGCCGACGGACACGAGGAACGTGTGGCCGTGGACGTCACTGTCTGTGACCATGGAGGAGGACCTGTGGGACCGGGTGAGTGGAATCAGCATGCGAGCAATGCACATGAATGTTCGGCGAGGCTCGTGACAACATTTATTTACACATGATTGCCCGTACCTCGCGATGCCTCTCCCTTCCCTTGCTAACCCCTCCCCTCGTTTTTCCCAAAGCAACCCCCCTCCATCTCTGCTTGCAGCGTGACTTCAATGGCGTCCCCCTCCACCCCTGAGCTTCAACGAGGGCCGTGACGACATGTATTCCCGTGCACTCCTCGTCATGCCTTATTCATCTGGCCCCGCTGTTCGTATTCTCCTATGCATTCCCTCTCTCCCATGTGCTTGCAGCGTGAATTTACCGGCTTTCCTCCTCCACCCCTGGGCTTCAACGAGGGCCGTGACGACATGTACTCTCGCTCAAACCTCGTCATGCCTCCCCTTTCTCTCTCCCCAACTCCCCATTACCCCCCCCCCTCCATGCACCTTCCCTCTGTGTGCTTGCAGCGTGACTTTACCGGCATTCCCCCTCCACCCCTGGGTTTCGACGAGGGCAGTGACGACATGTACTCGCGTGCGCACCTCGTGATGCCTCTGAGGGATTTCATCGAGCTGCCCTTGGCGTATGATGTGGTGCACAACGGAGCAACTTTCCAGGTACGTTTAGGACCGCACTGCACTCCACTGCACTGTATCGCACCTCGTGATGCCTCTGAGGGACTTCATTGAGCTGCCCTTGGCGCATGACGTGGTGCACAGTGGATCTACGTTCCAGGTACGTCTGGGACCACATCGAACCGCACTGCACAACGCTGCACTGTTTGTCATGGTTATTGTCATAATAGACTTGAAAGTGCTTCCCCTTTCTTCCCCCATTTCCCTTCGCCCCGTCCGCCAGCTAGCAGGCATCACGGCCATCAGCGTGCTGCCCTCCCTGGCCTCACGAACAACAGCGTGCTGCCAGAGGCGAAGCGGCTGAGACAGTGCGTGCTGCAGCACGGTGACCCTCCCCCTCCCCCTCCCCCTCCCCCTCCCCCTACCCCTTCCCCTTCCCCTCTCCCCCTTCCCCCTGTACCCCCTCCCCTCTGCAGCTAGCGGGCATCACGAACAACAGCGTGCTGCCAGAGGCGAAGCGGCTGAGGCAGTGTGTGCTGCAGCACCCGGACCTGGGAGGGGAGATGCTGAAGCTCGCCAAGGTGGGTGACTTGGGAAGGCTGTGCCTGCAGTGCAGATCAGACAGGTGGGATGAGGACAGGAACGGGATGGGTGGCATTGACAGCAGCAGCTAGAGGCGAAGCGGCTGAGGCAGTGCGTGCTGCAGCACCCCGACCTGGGGGGAGAGATGCTCAAGCTCGCCAAGGTGGGGACTGGGGAAAGCACGGGTAGCCTAGGCTCTGGGGTAGAGACTGGCAGGCACAGGGGCATGAGAAGTTGGCAGCTGAGGCAGTGTGTGCTGCAGCACCCCGACCTGGGGGGAGAGATGCTCAAGCTCGCCAAGGTGGGTGGGGAAAGAGCAGGAAGGGAAGCTTAGGCAGGTTATTGTGGTGCTAGCAAGGGGGCATGGGCACTTCATGGTTGAGGCAGTGTGTGCTGCAGCACCCAGAGCTGGGCGGGGAGATGCTGAAGCTCGCCAAGGTGGGTGGGGCGGGGGGTGTGGAGGCAGTCGGGTGGGAGGGAATGAATGCGCTGGGTGTTGCAAATAGCTTGAGATTGGGTGTTGCGAATGGCTCTGGGTGTTACAAAGTGGTTGTGGCAGTGGGTGCTGCAGCAGCACACCCGCTTCGATTGAGCTGCATCCAGCCATCCATCCAACCACCCGTCTTCCCATGTCATGTTACCTTCCATGCAGGCGCGTGTCGAAGCATTAATCCATCTCGGCTTCACTAATCACATGTAGGAGTTGATTGAGCTGCTGCTGGCAGTGCTCGACCGCTCCTTCAACCATCCGTGTCTGCCACTACCCGTGGCACCATGCTCCCATCTGTTCTGCACCATCTGCCCACCTCCTCTCCCATGCAGGCACGTGTGGAAGCATTGATCCATCTCGGCTTCACCGACCGCATGGAGGAGCCCATTGAGATCCATCCAACCATCTGTCTTCCATTCCATCTGCCCACGCTACCATGTTCCATCTGTCTATGTCACCATTCTCAACCTCCCCTCGATGCAGGCACGTGTGGATGCATTGATCCATCTGGGCTTCACCGACCGCATGGAGGAGTCCATCGAGCTGCATCCACCCACCCAACCATCTGCCCATGCTCCCAAATTTTATCTGCCTGCCCATGTCCCCGTCTATGCAGGCGCGTGTGGACGCACTAATCCATCTGGGCTTAACGGACCGCATGGAGGAGTCCATCGATCTGCTGCGGGCTGTGCTTCTGCCATTCCTCATCTTCCCATCTTACATCTGCCCATGTCACCGTCTGCCTATCTGCTCTACCATCCATGCAGGCACGTGTGGATGCATTGATCCACCTGGGATTCACCGATCGCATGGAGGAGTCCATCGAGCTGCTGCTGGCTGTGATCGACCGCTCCTTCTCCTCCCAGGCCTTCACCCTCCCAGGTCAGCTATTCTGACACACCTTAGACAGATCTCAAAAACCCTCCCATATCTGCTTCAATTCACTCACTCCAGCATTCACCCTCTCACGAGTTTTCCCTGTCTCCCTCCCTCCCTCCCTCCCTCCCTCCCTCCCTCCCTCCCTCCCTCCTGCCCTCCCTCCCGCCCACCCTCCCGCCCACCCTCCCGCCCTCCCTCCCGCCCTTCCTCCCTGCCTGCGAGCTGCTATCCTTGCACATGCCCATGTGACCTCATCCCCACATGTCCTCATGACCACATGCCTTCTTCCCCACTTACTTCATGCCCAATGCCCCATGCCCCATGCCCCATGCCCCATGCCCCATGACCCATGCCCCCATCCCCCCATGTTCCCATGCGAGCAGGCAAGAACCCCAGGGGGCGGTGCAAGAGGCCCACACACGCCATATGACCCATGTGCCTCATTTCCACATACCCCATAACCCATACTCCATACCCCATACTCCATACCCCATGCACATGCCCCATGCCCCCACACGAGCAGGCAAGAACCCCAGGGGGCGGTGCAAGAGGCCCAAGAAGAAGACCAAGGAGAACGAGAGGCCGGTGAGTGCTGTCCTTGAGTCAGGCATGCCAATGTGTGTGCTCCGTGTGAGCCAGATGGACGCGAATGCACTCACTGCTTGGTGTTATGAGAAGAAGCCAGTGAGTGCACCCGTTCGCTTGACCTGACCTCATCCACACTGGCTTCTGTGTCATCCTCCTCCGGCCTGGCCTCAAGGGCTTGACATTGTTGACTTTATTTACTCTGCTGATCCCTTCACTCTCCTCCTTCCTGACACCGTTGACCCCCTTGACTCCCTTGACCTCCCTCCTTCCCCCAGTGGAAGAGCATCCGGGAGCAGAATGCGGAGTGCCTCAAGGACCAGATGGAGCTCACACAGCTGATCCCTTCACTCTCCTCCCTCCTGCAATCTTTCATTCCATGCACCCTCTTCTTCTTCCCACCAGTGGAAGAGCATTCGAGAGCAGAACGCGGAGTGCCTCAAGGACCAGATGGAGCTCACACAGCTGATCCCTTCACTCTCCTCCCTCCTGCAATCTTTCATTCCATGCACCCTCTTCTTCTTCCCACCAGTGGAAGAGCATTCGAGAGCAGAACGCGGAGTGCCTCAAGGACCAGATGGAGCTCACACAGCTGATCCCTTCACTCTCCTCCCTCCTGCAATCTTTCATTCCATGCACCCTCTTCTTCTTCCCACCAGTGGAAGAGCATTCGAGAGCAGAACGCGGAGTGCCTCAAGGACCAGATGGAGCTCACACAGCTGATCCCTTCACTCTCCTCCCTCCTGCAATCTTTCATTCCATGCACCCTCTTCTTCTTCCCACCAGGGGAAGAGCATTCGAGAGCAGAACGCGGAGTGCCTCAAGGACCAGATGGAGCTCACACAGCTGATCCCTTCACTCTCCTCCCTCCTGCAATCTTTCATTCCATGCACCCTCTTCTTCTTCCCACCAGTGGAAGAGCATTCGAGAGCAGAACGCGGAGTGCCTCAAGGATCAGATGGAGCTATCTTACCCACCTGAACGACCTCATTGCCTTCCTGACCTTGTTGACTTTATTCATTTCCTTGACTTGACCCTGTTCACCCTCTAACCCCCACCAGTGGAAGAGCATTCGAGAGCAGTACGCGGAGTGTCTCAAGGATCAGATGGAGCTTACACAGCTGAACGAGCTCATTGCCTTCCGCCACATGGGGCCGCTCAAGTTCTCCCGAGAGGTATGCTAGTCTTTTGGGGGGGTTGTTTTTTGAAATGTCTCATAAATGGTCTCCAGGCAGGTGCGTTGCTGTGAGAGCGAGCTAAAGGTACAAGGCCCATAGCTGAATGTTCCAATTGCCTCCACAGCGCGCCCTCAAGGATCAGATGGAGCTTACACAGCTTAATGAGCTCATTGCCTTCCGCCACATGGGCCCGCTCAAGTTCTCCCGAAAGGTATGCTAGTCTTTTGGGGGGGTTGTTTTTTGAAATGTCTCATAAATGGTCTCCAGGCAGGTGCGTTGCTGTGAGAGCGAGCTAAAGGTACAAGGCCCATAGCTGAATGTTCCAATTGCCTCCACAGCGCGCCCTCAAGGATCAGATGGAGCTTACACAGCTTAATGAGCTCATTGCCTTCCGCCACATGGGCCCGCTCAAGTTCTCCCGAAAGGTATGCTAGTCTTTTGGGGGGGTTTTTTTTGAAATGTCTCATAAATGGTCTCCAGGCAGGTGCGTTGCTGTGAGAGCGAGCTAAAGGTACAAGGCCCATAGCTGAATGTTCCAATTGCCTCCACAGCGCGCCCTCAAGGATCAGATGGAGCTTACACAACTGTACCTACCGTGTGTGTGTGCATGTGTGTGTATCCCCACCTGCATGAATGGTATCAGGACATTTTGTTTGAGGTTGATTTTGAGAATTCTCAAAATCAACCTCAAACAATACCGACCCATGATGGAAGCAGTCAGCAACCCATCCACCGACCGCTGCTGAAGCAGCTGTGCTTGTCTGCTTCAAAACACTCCTTCCTCCCTTTTGTGTGCCTGTCTGCATGTGTGTATGTGTTATATGTGCATGTATGAATGGCCATCAGGACAAGTACCGACCCATGATGGAAGCAGTGGGGAACCCATCCTCCGACCGCTGCTAAAGAACCCCATGCGTTTATTTGGTACCCTTAGTAGACACATGGTATGCAGTGCTGTAGGGGTGTGTAACACATTGGTTGTGTCCCCTATCACACATTGGTTGTGTTGGGAGAATTTGCAGTCCCCTATCTCCTAAACCTTTGCTGGTTGGGGGAGATTCTTTAAGTGTGGATTGAGAGACGTGGATTGCATTGTTGTTAAGCTTGATACCATTCCCAACCTCCTAGATCGTGTGCTTCATACTCAGATGTTTCTGTTGAGCATTCACTTCACCTTATCTAGTGTCAACTTTAAAAAAAGGGGCATCTACAGTTTGAATTGATTTGGCAAACTTTGACCAAACCATATCACCTGGGGGTAGTTGTGTTCACACTGAAGCCCGAGCCCCGTTCATCAGCAGCACACTCACGCATACACCAGAAATCGCTGTAGCCTGGAGACTGTTGGCTAGACAATTGAGACTCCATTGATACCGGTACATCTCGTTCTCGTGTAAGCAATAGGACACGTTGAACTTTGTAGCAATTAGACATTATGTACAGTACGATCCACCACCACCACCCCTAAACCCTTAAAGCTCAAGGCCCAAATTGCAGAGCGCGCGGGACAAGCTTACTAAAGTTGATCAGAGTGCTTTCTGAGTGTTGTTTTGGTTGCGAATTGTGGTTACGAGAAGTGCGATGCAATTTGATTGGCCATCAATTTTTGGACGAATCGGAAAGCAGGAAACACCAAGAATATTGTGAGTGCAATTTGGGACTCGAGAACCAAAACCGAGTTGCTTCCTGGGGTTTGCTGAGTCAGCGAAAATTCTGACTGTGTAGCGAGAAGCTGCGCGAAACTAAACACACCAACTTCAAACAAGTCAACCTTCCTCTCCCGCTACCCAAAGGTCAACCTTACTAAGGTTGAACAATTTGGGCCTTGAGCTTTAAGGCTGGGACATTTGGAATCTGATTCACATTAGTCCCTCCGAGCATTGAATTAGATACTCCCGTGCCACATCAGCAAGCCGCCCTCCAATCATCTTGTACCGCCTGATCTCGCCTGGCAGCGCGTCCATGGCCCGTGCCACGTCAGCAGCCAGCTGGCGCCGCCCGGAGAACACTCGCAGTGGCTTCATGTGCGTGCGGATGGTGAACAGTACCGCTCCGGTCCTGGACCAATCAAATCAAAAGGGGCAGGGAAGTGTGGGGGGGAGAAATGGGTGGGGAGAGTAAACATCCAAGCATGTGCGTGCGGATGGTGAACAGTACCGCCCCAGTCCTAGAGGAAGGGGGGTGGAGGAGAGGGGGGTCAAGTGAGCAAGGGTGGGGGAGGTGAGGGAGGGCCCTCCTCCGCTTGCTTCTCTTCTGGCTCCTAATCGTGCTGCTGCTGCTCTTTGTGAAGCTCTGACCCCTCATTACCATACCTTCAACCCCTCATTACCATACCTTCAACCCCTCATTACCATACCTTTAACCCCTCATTACCATACCTTTAACCCCTCATTACCATACCTTCAGACCCTCATTACCGTACCTCCGGCCCCTCTTTCCACACTCACTTGGGCAGGCGCACTCACTTGGGCAGGCGCACTCACTTGGGCAGGCGCACTCACTTGGGCAGGCGCACTCACTTGGGCAGGCGCACTCACTTGGGCAGGCGCACGAACGTCTCTCCCTCACTGCGAGTGAACAGCCTCCACCCAGTGCTCTCCACTGTTATTGCACCATCACCCTCCTTCCCTTGCTCCTCTTCTTGGGGAGGCACTTATCACCGTACCTCCGATCCCCAATAACACACTCACTTGGGCAGCCGCACGAATGTCTCTCTTTCACTGCGAGTAAAGAGCCTCCATCCAGCGCTCTCCACTGTTATCAATTCACCACCCTCCTGCTCCTCTTGCTTCTCCTCTTGCTGCAACTGCTGCTGTTGCTTCTCTTGATGCTTCTGCTCTGCAAAGCCTGCCTTTGCCTCCACCAGGGAGGCATATGACGCCTGTAGCACCCACAGCAGTGAGGCATGTGGGGGAAAGCGGGGGTATGTGGGGGGCAACAAGAGAGGGAAAGCGCAAACAAAAGTATTGGAATACAACAAAAACGATCACACCCGTCCCTGCAGCACCACCTGTTGCTTCAGATCTGCCAGCGCTGCCTTTGCCTCCACCAGGGACGCATATGACGCCTGTAGTGCCGGCAGCAAAGGCAGCATGTGGGGGGTGTGGGGACATGCGGGTTAGAGATTCCAACAACACGAGAGGCATTGAAACACTGCTGAACACTTGTTGAATGGAGAAGAGGGGGCGTTTGAGTCGATGCAAAAGTGGGGGGTGTAGGGGCATGTGGGGCAGAAATTCCAACAACGCGAGAGGCATTGAAACACATTGCTGATCTCTTGTTGAATGGAGAAAACCCGACTCACGAGTAACGACACGGACCTCTGATATCGGTCGGAACAGCCGCGGGTCATCTGTTATCGTCCAATTGGAGCGCTCGAATGGGCTGCCCGGCTCCAGGTTGTTCAGAAATTTGTCGACAGCCCGAGAAATTGTCGACTCGTAGAGGGGCACGGGCGTGTGGATTTGAGCGGTGGGCAGCCCGAGTTTTTCGGGCAGAATCCAGCCGTTTGGAAAAAGAACAGCACCAGAGACAAGGAAGAGAGGGGAAGTGGAGGAAGAGGAAGAGGTGGAGGGAGGAGAGGAGGAGTAAGGGGAGGAGGAAGTATGAGAGGAGGGGGGGGTGGAGGAAGGGCGAGGGAGCATGAGGCATACATCCTCCTGCAAGAAGGAGCAGAATTCTGAAGGGAAAGGAAGGTCATGCTCCTATCGAAGTCGCCAACTAATCATCACCTGTATTGGTTGAACGATGACCGATAGAGGGTCTTGTGATGAATCCGACTCTAGAGGTACTCACTCACTCTACAGTGACCCATTCTATACCAAATCCACTCCATAAAGGGCACCAATCACCTGTATTAAGGTGACTTTTGAGTCGACTCAAAACGAGGTGACTTTTGACTTTTGAGTCGACTCAAAAGTCAAATCCAGTTCATAAAGGGCACCAATCACCTGTATTAGCTGAGCGATGACCTCTATAGGGTCCTGCAATAACTAGAGGACCACTAGAGCATCCTCTATTTATAACGAATCCACTCTATAAAGGGCGCCAACCCCCCAATCACCTGTATGAGTTGTGCCATGATCTCTAGAGGGTCCTGAAATGAATCTGACAGGTCGAATGAATCACCCGTGGCGTGGTTGTGCAGATGATGGTGCGAGAGGGAGAAGCTGTGGGAGAGAGGGGAGGGGAAAGGAGAGAGGGAAAGGGAGGTGCAAAGGAAGGGAGGGGTGGTGTCAGTTAGTGAGCAAGCAGGTCGAATGAATCACACGTGGCATGGTTGTGCGGATGATGGCACGACCAAGCACATAGATGGTACGGCAGGGAAAAGCTGGGGAAATGGAAGAAGGGGAGGGGTAGGAGGGGATCAGAGGCCAAGCACGCACATAGATGAGAGATACTTTCCATAGAAGTCTTTCGAGGTGCCTCAAAAGATACCCACCTACCACGTCTTTCGAGGTGCCCCACATACGTGTGTGGGAATCGGGATGCCAGACGTTTGAGCCTACTCAAGAAGTCACCTTGTACCACGTACGTGTGTGGGAATCGGGACCGCGGAATTTTTTAGTCGCCTCAAAAGTCGCCTCAAAGGCCGACTCACAAGTCACCTTGTACCACGTACATGTGTGGGAATCGGGACGGCAGAAAATCCGCCAGCATGTGTAGTAGCTCCCACTCCGCCTCCCTCACTCGCTCCCTCACTCCCTCCCCCTCCCACTCCTCCCCTCCCTCCCTCACCCTTCCCCCCTCACACTCCCCTTCATCCCTGCCCCTGCTCCCCACACACTCCCCCCTCCCCCTCTCCCCCCCAACCCTGCCAATGACTGTGCTCCGGTGATTCGCTAGAATGGCCTTCCTTAAAGCCATCTCTTGCCGGTAAAACGGGTCGATCTGAAAAACCAAGCGAGGGGCGGGAAGGAGATAAGGGGGGGGAGAGGGGTGAGGGCAAGCAAGAATAGCTTTCCATTAGGCCATGGTGGTAGATTGGGTTGATCTGAAGAAGAGTCAGCAGAGGAAAGACAGCAGTCGATTCGGTTCGTTGTGGTTCAATGAGGGTCAATGCACCTGTACTGTAGCCAGTCATCTCGAGTCACCGCAGGTCAATGCACCTGTACTGTAGCCAGTCAACTCGAGTCACCGCAGGTCAATGCACCTGTACTGTAGCCAGTCAACTCGAGTCAACGCGGGTCAGCGCACCTGTAGCCTGTCATCCATCGCCATGGCCTGGACCCCCATGGCCATGAGGAGAGAAGAGAAGTGGCAGCTATTCAAAGTGCCCTGAGAGCCAGTCAACTCGAGTCAACGCGGGTCAACGCTCCTGTATCGAGTCATCCATCGCCATGGGTTGCACCCCCATGGCCATGCGGAAGGAGTGGCAGCTATTCAAAGTGCTCTGCAAGCCAGTCAAAGTGGGTCAACTCGGGTCAATGCACCTGTATCCAGTCGTGCATCGCCATGGATTGCACCCCCATGGCCATGCGGAAAGGAGCCTTCAGTGGCAGGTACTCAAAGTGCCCTGCCAACCAGTCAACGCCAGTCAACGCCAGTCAACGCCAGTCAACGCCAGTCAACGCCAGTCAATGCCAGTCAACCCCAGTCAAAGACAGTCAACAGGTAGTGTAGGAGAGAGGAGAGGGGCTGATGGAGAGAGAGGAGGGGAGTAACGGTCAGGAAAAAATTACGGCTCAATGACTTGAGATGAAAATACAGGAAGGGAAGTGAAAAAAAAGGAAAAAAAAAAAAAAAAAAAAAAACAGGTGTTTCACATGCCCTGCCCAGTTCCCCCTCCCGTGCCCAACATTCCCCCTTGCACCCACTATCTCTCCCCCACAATCCCATTTTTCGCCCTAAACCTTTGTAATGTTCTGCCTTACCTCCAAGTTTTTTTTAAAGCTTCCACCTTTCCCCTTATCCGCCTACCTGGGTCTAAGGGGAGCGACGCGGAGGGGAGAGTGGAGGGCGCGGGGGAGGAGGGCAGGGGCGGGGAGGCGGAGAGCAGGGGGAGGAGGACGGGCGCGGGAGCGGGGGCTGATGGGGAAGTGGAAGGGAGAGAGGAGAAGGGGGGAGCAGCGGAGGGGGGAGAAGCGGAGGAGGCAGGCAGGTGGTCGGAAGAGGGGGATGAGGCATTGTGGGGAGGAGCGATTGGGGGAAGGGGCGAAGGGGGAGGAAGGGAGGAGGCGGAAAAGGAGGAGGCGGAAGAGGAGGAAGCGGGGAGGTCATGAAAGGAGGCAGATGAGGCAATGCGGGCAGACGCGGGTTGATCGCGAGTCGCGTCAGAAGAGGAACCAACAGAGGAAGCTTCGTTGTTGAGCGAGCACTGGCAATGCTGCATTCGATCGTTGATGCGCCGTTCACGCCGCTTCCGCCGCTCCCGTGCGGATCTCTCGCTGCCGTTGATCTGCCCATTGGTAACCTGCCAAGTTGCGTCGTCGCGTCGCGCGGATCTCGCAAATTCCAAACTTCTACATTGAACACACCTTTGCTTCGCTAACGAATTCGAAAGGGATTTCGCTCGACACGCCGACAACGATTGACCGAGGCGCGCCGTGAAAAGCGGAGAGAACGAGCGGAGAGATGGCAGTGGAGCGGAAGAGGGCGTGAGGGGAGGAATGCACCTGCGCTGGAAGGCACGCGCGGCCTGCGCGGCGACTGGCGGAGCCATGCGGGGAAGAATGGCGCAAGGGGAAGTGCGCGCATGTGCAATGTAATCGGAACGCGAATGTTATCAAAATATGCTCAATGCAACATGTTTCCCTCGCATGCTTTTCGCGAATTCGTTCGCCAAGCAAGGTGATGGCTTTAGTTACAACTACTGTGTTCGGAGTGTGTGGATACACGCGAACGAACAGATGTGAGTGACGACAGCGGTAACTGCATGTTTCGTGCATTCGTCCACCTCTCGTTCAGCACGTAACTTCGCTGCACGCGCTTTGCCTGGCAAATTGGATGTCCCAAGCTCTGTTCTTGAAGGCGTATTCTGCCGATGATGTGATTTATCGTATCAGCTGAAGATCAGGAGACAGTTACCCTAATTCAACATATCTCGAAAAACTTCGCTTCACGCATTGGGCCACTCCGAGTCTGTTTGAGCAGATCCCACAGTTTTCACGAACAACTGCGACGCTCGTCGTAGTAGTGTTTGCATTGATAGAGCGTCCAGCTCCACTCGTTCGAAACGAAGTTACATCGGTACCTCACAAATGAATCTGAAGCACCGAAGTTTGATTCTAGAATCGTGGCGTTCCTCCTGTTGGAACACCCCCCTAAACCACAACCCCCTTCTCTTCGCCCCAGGACTCGATGGCATTCCCTGCGTTGCACGCCATCCCCCCTGCTTCCTCCCCACTGCGCGGCTTCCTCCAGCCAGAAGAACTCCCTTCCGCTCCGCAACACACCCCCAATCATCCGCCAGCTACACCCGACTCCGTGCGCCCTTGTACCACTCCTCTCTCTCCCCCCGCCCTGCCTACCCCTCACCCATCCCCCTTCCCCCCCGTAATTCGCGCCCGCCTTCTTTTGGTCCAGCCGTTCTCCCCTTCTTTCCCCCATGCTGAGCGGGAGGCGCAGCGCACGTGCTGCAGCACAAATACTGAATGCATTCCAACCTGAACAAACATTTTCGAGCCAAATCGAACACCTCTCGTCTCGAACAAGCCCTTGCGTTTCCTATCATATCGGAGCGTTTTTTTTTTTGAGTTTGCTCTTCTTCATTCCGCCATTTTGCCTCTCTGGGAGATCGTCGTCGCGCTCTGCACTTCTTTCCTGCGTTTGCTTTCGCGCAACCTAGGGCGTGCCGCGAGAATCACTAAGACGGAAAACTAAGCTGTAAAACTTTCACCATAACGCCGGATACGAAACGAGACAAGTTTTCAGGCGCCTGAAACCCGACGCCGCAAACGAAACACATGGCTACGGTCTGGGCTGCTTCGGTCCCCTTCCGATTCGCGCTCTCAACATCTGTGCTTCTTGTGCTATTGTCCCAACCTCTTCTCGCCACTACTGCACTTCCTAATACCGCGTATAACGCACGGAACCAGCAGGCGCCAGATACACCAGCGCTTTCCAGAAGTGTGCTGAACCTAAACAGCACGGATATCCAGTCACAAGCCGAACATGCCATACTCGCTATTGAAAGGATCGCAAACAGCAGCAACGCTCGAAGCAGAAGAATTATGAAAGGGAGCGGGGGTGGCTCAGGAGGGGGAGGCCATGGGGGGAGTCATGGCGGCAGCAGCAGGGGCGGAAGCAGCAGGGGCAGCAGCAGAGGCAGCAGCCGCAGCAGCAGCCGGAGCAGCAGCAGGAGCGGTAGTAGCAGCAGCAGTAGCAGTCGCGGGGACAGGGGTCGCGGCACCAGCATCTCAACTACTATTTATTTTCGCCGCACGACTTCAGGTCGCCGGCCCAAGTCGTCTTTAAGGGGCTTCAGGCCGCTCGTGTATCCCGTTAGCTACTATGAGGAGGACTATGAGTACAGTGACTATATCGAGCCATGGGACTTGGACGATCTGGACAAGGCAGGGAGTAAGCGGGCGTCCGTAACCACGCTCGGTGTAATTGCGTCGACTTTTTTGCTGTTCTATATGCTCGGATAGTTGTCGCAAAGCCTTGCTTCGTATCATTTGATTCTATTGAAGTTTGACAACTATAGTTCTTACTACTATACTGTGTCATTAATTTGTTTAGCTGTGTCGTTTATAAAGATATATACTGTGTCATTTAATCCACTCCCCTACATACTCGCTGCTGACAATATCAGCAGAAATCAATAAAAGCTTCACCATATTTTCTTGCATTTCAGGTTCTCAACAAGTTTCATAATACTTTAAAACAGGTCTAGCATCAAACAAAAAACATCTTAACCAACCAGCAGCTCCCCCCACCAAGAACCAACCCTCAAGTCGCCTAGACGCTACCCACGCAGCCCTTGATTCACACTTCACTCCTCCGCTGCTCTGCCTGCTTCGCCTTCCTTTCACTATCTGGCGTCGATCATGCCCTGTAGCTTGTCTTACAGGGCAGCACGCTCTGAGCTACTACACCTGGTGGGGGGTTTCAGCTATCACAGCCCCACACCGACCACTGAGAAAGCTTTGCATGAAAAGAACCGGCTCCATATGGGAGTTATTTGAGACAAGGGTGCAGTCAAGAGTGGATGGGGGAAAGTAAAGTGATAGTAAAGAAAGCACAAGCGGAAAGAGAGGGAGAGAGAGGGAGAGTGAGAGTGAGAGGGAGAGAGAGAGAAAGAGAGAGAGAGAGGGAGAGGGAGAGTGAGAGAGGAGAGATTGAAGAGACAGGCCTCAGCTCTCCTCTGTTTATCCTGCAATCCGCACCACCTCTCCTGTAAGCTACCCCCCACCGTTTTGCCTGCCTTGTCCTTTCAGCAGCCCTTGATACTCTAGCTACCTCCACCCTCCTCAGCTGCTGCTGCTGCTTCTCTTGCTGCTGCTACTGCTGCCACACCGCCCCTGCTGCTGCTACTGCTACTGAGAGCTACTATCACTCCCAGCACCTGCAGTGGTGCTAGTAGCACCGCTCGTAGCAGACCCAGTAGTAGCAGCGGCTGTAGCAACAGCTGTAGCAGTGCCTGCAGCAGGAAGAGCTGCTGCTGCTGCTGCTGCTGGTGTTGCTGCGTGTGCCTCCCGCCGCAGGGGCTGTCGCAGCAACGACTGACTTGCTCCTCCTGCTGCTGCTGCCCCTGCTGCTGCTGCTGTCCTTGTCCCTGCATGGCCATCACTCCCACTACCAGCGCCAGCGCCACCACCAATGCCACCGCTGCTGCTGCCACTGCCCCCCCTGCTACTGCTGCTACTGCTCCTGCTGCTGCTGGTACTGCTGCTAGCAGCAGCAGCGGGCGGGGCAGCAGCAGTGGACGAAGAGGGAGACGAGGAGCGAGGGGAGTGGCGCCGAGGGTGGGAGAAGAGGGAGAGGGAGGAAGCGAGAGAGAGGGAGGGGGACGCTAGCGGCAAACCACCCCCGGATTGTGACAACACACGCGGTGACACTAACGAGGGGCATCCGGCCCCGCGGGCAAGGCCGCTGGCACTGCTGCTGCCGCCGCCGCTGCTGCTACTGCTATTGCCACTGCCAGTGATGGCCAGCGATGGGAGATTGAACGAAAACGACCGGTGGTTACCGCTGTTACCACCGTTACTACCGCTGATGCTAGGCCCTGCTTGGTCCTCCGTACTGCTGCTAGCCCTTAGGCTCCTGGCGCTCCTACTGCCGCCAAGACTTAAATTACCACCACTGGTACTCACATGCCCAGTACCAGACGTACCACCAGATCCAACGGCCGGGACGCTACCAGATTCTACGGCCGAGACGCTACCAGATCCAACGGCCGAGACGCTACCAGATCCAACGGTCGAGATGCTACTCCCAGCGGCACTCCTGCTGCTGCTGCCACTCCCCCCTGCACCGCCACTGGCGCTAATACCAGCGCTCCTATTGCTTCCGCCTGCTAAGCTATGGCGGAAGGAAAGACTCGAAGTTAATAGACCTCCTCCCGTTGCAAGCACCCCTCCGTCGTTATTATCACCTTCGTTTAAGTAATACCCACCCAGGGTAGCACCTGCACTCATACTGCTGGCAATTGCCTGGTTGTTTCCGTTGCCAGTACTCCCCCCCGCGCCCATATCCCCGCCTGTTGCCCCTCCGCCTGCACCTCCCCCTCCCCCTCCGCCGCCGCCTCCGCTGATCAGCCTGCGCAGGGATGTTGCCATCATCGCGAGGCGTGTGCGCGCGCCGCCGCTCCTGCTCATGCTACCCACCCCCCATCCTCCTCCCCCTGCACCACCTGCGCCACCCCCCTGCGCGTGACCGCCGTCCAGTCCCCCGCCCCCCCCGCCTCCTCCGCCTCCCCCGCCCCCCATCGCCCCCAGAAACCGCATCCCCACGGCGGTTGCGGTCGACTCCTCCTCCGCACCTCCCCCAACTCCGCCTGCTCCCCCGCCCGCGCCTATTGCGCCCGCACGCCCCAGCGCATGAAGCCCGGGGAAGTCGCGCACTAAGCGCCCGCCGCCCAACTGCTCCGCCGCTGCCGCGCCCTCGCCCCTGCGGCCTCCGCCATGCTCCCCCCCCGCTCCACCCCCCCTGCGCCGCCCGCCGCCCAGCATCATCCCGTCAACCGGCTCCGCAATCACCACTCCGCCCGCGCCTCCCACGCCCCCGCCGCCGTTTCCGCCGTCGGCCCCGCGCGCGGCTCCCCCGGCCCCTCCGCCAGCTCCGTGCTCCCTATGCGCATGCGCGTGCGCGTGCGCGTGAGACGACGACGAAGCGGAACGCGTGCGCTCCTGCGTGATCGAGAGCGCCGGGCGCTGCTTCTGCAGGAAA